CTAGCCGGGGTACTGTCACAGGCTTTAAGGGGGTTACCTGTGATTTAGCCATGGCGAGACAGCAGTGTATCTTGTCTTCTGTGTTGATAAGATGCAGGTATGAACATTGACCGTAGCCATACAAGCAAGCATCGGAGAAATTATGTAATTCGACTGACTTCAACTCTCCGAAGTCAGCTGGCTTGTAACATCGGGATATATTAAGCTCTAATAATTGTGTCAGATCTCCATTCCATCTTTGCCAGTTGACGTACATYGGATCTGGGAGGCGTTCATCCCATCCTACCCCATCCTTGCAAAGCTGCTGTAGAATTTGCTTGCCTTTCAGTACAAAGGGGGAAACCAAACCAAGTGGGTCGAAGATCGAGATCACGATGGACCTCCGCGTCAGGGGCTTGTTTCTTGGTTCAATCTTGAATTGAAAAAGATCGGATTCTACCTGCCAATGAACGCCCAGAGATCTTTCCACAGGCAAAGTATCCTTTGTGAGATCTATATCTTGTATGGCTTTTGCGTGTTCGTTGACCGGAAGGCTTGCTATGACGTCCTTGTCGTTGCTTAGAAACTTGTGCAGCTTAAATCCTCGAGCTTGACACATTGCCTTGGTGTTCTTTGATAACTCTATGGCTTCTTGTGATGAAGCCACCGATCACAGACCATCATCAACATAGAAATCGTTCTTCACAAATTCGGCAGCATTGCTGCCAAAGTTCGCCTTGTTGTCATCAGCTGTACGCTTCAGAACAAAATTGGCGCATCCAGGGGGTGAGCCAGCCCCAAACAAGTGGACTGTCATACGGTATTCCTTAGCATCACCTTGCACGTCTCCATCATCCCACCACAGGAACTTCTTACCTGAAGAAACATGCCCTCAATGCCACATGATGGCAGTTGTCTCCTTTCTGAAGCGACAGAGTACGCCCGTTAGATTGTTGGTGAGGTCTGGGCTTGGCAAAAGGCTTTGGTTTAACGATTCTCCTTGATATGGAGAACTAGCATCGAAAACCACTCTAATCTTTTCTGTTTTTTTAGGATCCCATGATGTGGGATATACCAAATCGTACCGTCATCAATGGCTAACTCGTTCTCAGGCACCTTCTCTGCATGACCCTTAGCGATAAGATCAGCCATGGACTCTATGTACCGTTCTTTGTATGTCGAGTCTGAATTCATGCGTTTCTTGAGATCTTCAAGTCGTTTAACGGCAGCTTGTCAGTTATTTGGTAATTTGCAGGATTCTTCCTTGAATGGTAAAGGCATTTCGTAATGCCCGCTATTGTCAAGTATGGTATTGGATTTCAATGTTTCAATAAATTTCCTCTTGTCGCGTGAGAGAGATCTGGGTCGMTTCTGTTCTCGATCAAATCCTGTTCAAACATCTGCTTAACTTGCAGGGGAGTTACCAACTCTTCCTTTGTCTGACAGGCGAAGCGACATTTAGAGCTTGTGATTGCGCAATGATAGTGTTGGGATTCACTGAACCAATAATACTCTAACCCAAAGCAGTTCTTAGGGCGTACGGATCATCGTCCCTACCAGGGATGACGTCGAGGGGCTTGATAGCGCGAATGCAATTGCTCCCGATGAGAAAGCCAACATCGACACCTTCCTTGTGTCATCAGCTGGCAGGCAATGCTTTCTAAATGCGGCCACTGAAGTGCAGTTTCGGGTCTGGGTATTTGGGTTCGTCTAGGTATTTTATCGCGAGAAAAGGAATCTGGAAGCCTGATCTTGGAGGTTTCATTGAGACCTTGGTCGATAAGACCATTTATCTTCTTGCAATCGATGATTTGTTCTTCTAGCATAGTTGACAGTCTCACCTTGACATTCGGACCATCAAGTGACAGGTCGTCGATGAGTGATGATTTCACAAAACATGCGTCGGACTGATCGTCGAGAAGAGCATAAACAAGAACCCTTTCATTAGGTCGATTTTCGTGAGTTAACCAGACAGGTACAATGAGCGAACTAGTGTCGGAATGCAAACCGTTTTGCAAAGTACCCTCAACACGATGAGAGGTTGACGAAATGACCGTCTCGGTGTTATTATTTTGCTGATCCTTGCGAGGTACATAAGCATCGCCGTGAAATGGTGTTGGGTGGCGTCCTTGGCAAATTTCGGAGTTTCTTTTCCGTTTACAATCATTGTTTTTGTGACCCTCAAGCAGCCGAGACACTGTCCATCCTTAATGATAAAATCCTTTCGTTTCGGTTGAGGTAGATTAAGAAACCTTTTGCAAAATTCGAGGTAGTGATCTCCACTGCACATCGCGCACAACGGCTTTCTTCCCTGTTTATGGTTTATTCCTTCTGGAAGATGGTCTGGTGTGATGTCGGAATTAATTCTGYAGGCTCCAGCATTTCGTGTAAGAGGTTGTCGTGGTTTGGAGTAAGTCTTCCGCTGGAAGTCTACGTTTTCTTTAGCCTTGATAGCGCGATGTGAAATGATAGGATTACAAGCTATCCTAGCTTCCTCCTCGACGAACTTGCAGAACTCTGAGAAGGGCGGATAACTCGGGGATTCATGAAGAAGATTAGTGATGTGGCAACCGGATAGCCAACTATCGACCACCCTCCCCCAGGTATTCATCAGGTAGTTAGGCAGTTTACGGGTCATCTTTTGATTCTCCTCAGGGTCGTTCAAACTATTTAGAAAGGACACTGATCTCGTTGCTGAGAGCGTTTGATTCAAGAAATCAGAAATTTTGTGTAGACTTTCTCCATCGTTTGGTGGTATTTTGGACCATTCGTTGATTTTCCTTCGATATGCGTCAGCAACTAGAAAGGGGTTTCCGTATCGGTCACGCAAAACCGATTTTGCTTCATTATAGGCCTGTTCGTTATCTTGATTTACGTAACCCTTAATCGCTTCCTTGGCTTCTCTGGCAGTATATCTCCCGAGGTAGTACAGGCGCTCGGAGATTCGCTTTGTTTGACCCTTTACGATGGTTTCGAAAGACTTCAACCAACGAGGGTAGTGAAGTAAGTCACCTCTAAATGTCTCGAGAAGAGGAAGTGAATCTCTACTTCGTCTTTCGATTAGCAAGGCTGCCAGCCTAGATAACGTGTCTTCCTGGGAGCCTGACATTTGCGGGTTGCAGTGAGAATTACAGGGAATTTGTAACGGATTTGGAGGAGTAAGATCATCTCGAAGATTTAGTTGTTGAGAATCTTGAGTTGTTAACGATTGAGTCGGGGTCATTTTGGCTGCATGCGACATTCCGTTAAATTCCTCACGTCCGTTGTAATCCTGCTCCGTCATTTTAAGATAATCATTGGTTTTGTTTTTCAAAACAACCGGCACTAGTGGCGATGGCTCTGTGGACGTAAATTCCACTGGTGTGTCTAAAATATGACCTTGCGCGTTGAAAGGATTTGCGATTGGATAGATAGATAGATAGATAGATAGATAGATTTATTAACAATAATAACCTTGCAGCCGTTTAATGGCTGAATTGCGTTATTTACACTATGAAATAAAGTTTATAAAAAGTATTTAAAAGATAATCTATTTACAAGAAATTATTATAGATATATATATATATCTAATAATATAAACGATCGACAATAGAATAGAATATATAAGAATCTAAAATTTACTTTAACTTGAAATGCTAATTTCGTTAAAAATTGTGCCTCGCTCGTTAAGATGCAGTCATTTTAGCGATGAATGAGTTCTTAAACCTATTTGTCCGGTAACGAGGAGTGCTATAACGTCTTGTTTTCCTTAAGTTATAATGTGGCTTGTTTACAGGAGGTAATAGATGTGAGAAACGAYGGTCATTTACAATTGACTCAAAAAGCTTTATGCACTGCTTGGATCTTCTTTCCGATAGTTTTTCCATATTATGTTCTTTAAGAAATGATTCATAGCTTCTACATGGTGAAATTATGCTAAATGCCCGCTTCTYCACCCTTTCGATGTCATTACTCAGATACAGAGGAAGTGCGTGATGGAAAACTGACGAACCATACTCAAGCACCGGGCYGACYCAGGTGCAATAAAAATTCAAGGCACCATCAAGTAAGTTGTCATGGTTCCATGATATGTGAATTGTGTCTGCAGAAAAGTAAAACAGGTCTTAAATCAATAAGATAAACTAACTTTTAGTAGAATCATTAGAATTGAATTTTTTGTTTGACTTTGAAAATTCACCTTTAAAAAGGATAAATTATAATTCTTCTTCAACTTCTTGCTCCACCTCGTCACTCTGCTCATCATCTAATTCATCTGGTATGGGCTGATTAATTTCAGGAACATCTGTGTGACTGCTCAACTTGGGTTTCATTATCCCATCTTTAATTTCAAAGCCATATTCCGTAGGATCAAAGTAACTTGGCTGAGGTTTAAAAATTTGGTGGTATTCATGGCATTGATAGATCACCCGTTTGAAAGAGTTACACTCGTTTTCAGGTACACGCGCGTTTTAGTAAAACCTTTCAAAAGCAAAACAAGGTTTTGATGGACGTCAATCATTTCGTTTCCATAGTAATCAACACGTTCTTGCATAATTTTGGCGCGCTTTATCTAGCTTCTTTTCAGTCGTTTCCACTAAATGTGCGAAATGTCGTCCTTTCAAAAATTTCTTCACGATTTTGCTTTCGATATTGATACCTGCACAATGGAAAGCGAAGAGGTCATACCGGCACCCAACCTTCCAGATTGGGAGGAGACACAGATCATTGACAAAGAAGACGAACAAGTAAGTTTCTAGAGCAAATATTTCTTTGTGAAAACCCACGCGGTGTTTTCTCGTAGTGACCGATGTAGACAGTTTCATATCTCTCGATTCTCCAAAAAACTCA